TGAGTGCACTGTTAGCAGAGTTCGCAGACGTCTTCCCCGACGAGTTGCCCCCAGGGTTACCTCCTAGCCGAGCAGTCGACCATCGAATAGAGTTGGAGCCGGGGAGCAGGCCAGTAGCGAAGCCGCAGTGGAGGTTGAGTCCAGCAGAGACAGAGGAGATGACGCAGCAGGTTAGGCACTTTCTCGCACAGGGGTTCATACAGCCATCTAGATCGCCTTGGGCCGCACCGATCCTTTTCGCGCCTAAGAAAGACGGAGGGTTACGGATGTGCATAGATTACCGCGCACTGAACGCCGCCACCGTCAAGAACAGATTCCCGGTGCCGAGAGTAGAGGATCTTCTAGATGCAGTGCAGGGCGCTAGAGTCTTTTCTAAGATCGACCTTCGTTCGGGTTACCACCAGATTCGCGTAGTTCCAGAGGACCAGCACAAGACGGCGTTTCGTACGAAACAGGGATTGTACGAGTTTAGGGTTCTACCGTTCGGACTGACCAACGCCCCAGCGACGTTCCAGACGCTTATGAACACCGTCCTCTCCGAGTTCCTAGGTTCGTTCGTTGTCGTTTACCTAGACGACATACTCATCTTTTCCAAGTCGAAAGAGGAGCACGTGCAGCACTTGCAGAGGGTCTTTGAGGTCTTGCGGAGGGAGAAGCTGTACGCGAAGCAGTCGAAGTGCGAGTTCTTTCTCCCCGAGGTCGAGTTCCTAGGACACGTCGTATCCGCTAGTGGCGTTAGGACCGACCCGAAGAAGATCGCAGCGGTACAGGATTGGGTAGCACCGACCTCAGTCAAGGAGTTGCAGAGCTTCCTCGGTTTCGCGAATTACTACCGTCGTTTCGTTCAGGGTTACGCTTCCATCGCTAGTCCACTCACCGACCTACTTCGGAAAGGCGTTGGGTACGTTTAGCGTCCAGCGCAGCAGCAGGCGTTCGAGCAGATGAAGCAGTCGCTCACGTCTTCACCGACACTGTCGTACCCCGATCCCACTCGCCCGTACGTTGTAGTGACCGACGCTTCCGATCAGGCCATAGGAGCAGTGCTTCTTCAGGACCAGGGACGCGGGTTGCAGCTGATCGTGTACGAGTCGGGTAAGCTTAGGGGAGCGGAACTGAACTATCCGATACACGACAAGGAGGCGCTAGCGATCATCCATGGGTATAAAGTGTGGAGGTGCTACCTACAATAGATCCCGAGTTCACACCGCAGCCGCCCGCAGGAGCAGAGGTGCAGGGTAGTGTTTACATACGGAAGGGCACCACACGGATTTGGGTTCCAGCCTACCGCCCTCTTCGACAGCTCCTTCTCTCAGAGGCGCACGACGTAGTTAGTGCAGGTCACTTTGGAGCAGACAAGACGGCTAAGACGCTTAGTCGCACGTACTACTGGCCAGGGCTTGCAGCAGACGTAGAGGATTACATTCGCTCGTGCGACACGTGTCAGCGTACGAAATCTTCCCGCCAGCGCAAAGCAGGTCTTTTGCAGCCGATTCCACCACCCGACCGCCCTTGGCAGGTAGTTACGATGGACTTCATCATGGCATTACCGCGCACAGTTAGGGGTCACGACGCGATCTTCGTGGTAGTGGATAAGTTTTCTCGAGCAGCGCATTTCATCCCCACGCACGGTCAGGTCACAGCAGAGGAAGCCGCGACGCTGTTCGTAGATAACGTAGTCCGACTGCACGGGGTTCCCGATTCCATCATTTCCGACCGCGACCCTAGATTCACCTCGAAGTTCTGGAAGCAGCTTTTCGCACTGTTTGGGACTCGCTTAGCCATGTCGTCTGCGTACCATCCAGAGACAGACGGACAGACTGAGCGCGTGAACCAGACATTGGAGCAGATTCTTCATAGCACCACGATGCACGACGCAGCCGCATGGGACAAGAAGCTGAGCATGGCTGAGTTCGCCTACAACAACACGCATCATTCCGCCACAGGCATGTCACCGTTCTTTGCACTGTACGGTCAGCACCCCAATGTCCCCACTCGTGTCGATCTCACACCCACCGTCCCTCGTGCGGACAACTTCCACCAGCATCTTGTGAGAACAGGAGGTAGTCTCAGGAGCCTAAGCTAGGAAAGCCCTAGCTAGGCAAACGATAGTTTAGGTGAAAGAATGAAAAACGAATAGTTTAGGAGAACGAATAGTTTAGGAGAGGGGTTGCACTAGAAAGAATGGGGATACAAATAGCAAACCCTAGAAGGGTTGTACTCGCTATAGAGCACCCCACTACAGGCTAGAGCATAATATTCTGACACACCCCCATAGCCAAAGTGGGGTGTAATCAGCAGAGCAAGCAAAACAGTACAAGCCTACGGTGGATCACAATGTCACCACACATTCTGAGCACAAGTTCAAGAAGCAATAGTTTAAAGTTCACAATTATGAGCAAAGCTAGTGGTAGTCACAACGGGCAAGTGAGGAGGAGGAAAGAGACTATGAGAGGAGAGGAGGTAGTGGGCGGCAGCTGAAGCTGCTGGCACACGGCGCAACTGGAGCAACTGGCACACGGGCAACTGGAGCAACTGGCACACTGGCAACTGGAGCAACTGGCACACGGGCTACTGGAGTAACTGGCTCCGCGGCTAAAAGTAGCGGCAGACGAGCAACGGACTCACGGGCGACTGGAGCAACGGGCTCACGGGCGACTGGCGCAACGGTCTCACGGGCGACTGGAGCTGCTGGCTTCACGGCGGCCACCCCCTTCAACCTCCCCAAACTATCCCACTCCCCCTGACACACACCCGCTGCTACACCGCTAGCTCCACTCCCCCTTCACCCCCCCTTAGTACCACTCCAACGGCTCCAACAAGTCCACCCCCCCTCAGCGGCAGCTGCAGCACAGGGAGACGGAGGAGGAACAGGGAACCGCACTCAGTGGCTTCACCCCCATACCCCTCACCCCCAAACCCTAATTCAGGAGAACGAGTTGTAGGAGGGGTGGGGCGCCAGTAGAAGCACGGGGGACAGTGGGGAGGGCAGGGGCAGCGAGGAACGGGCCGCCCACGGGCCTGGCATAGCCGCCCGAACCGCGCGCAGGCGGCCCGAGCCGCGCGCGGGCCTGGCGCTTCCCGTACGGGCCGCGCGCGGGCCTGGCGCAGCCCGTACGGGCCGCGCGCGGGCCTGGCGCAGCCCGTACGGGCCGCGCGCAGGCCTGTACAGGCCGCGTGCAGGCCACGACGGGCGACGTTGGGCGACGCGCGGGTCCCCGTCGCCCGTCGCAGCGCCTCCCGGGGGCGACGCGCCGAGTGACGGGGCAGAAACCCGCCGCGCGCCTCGGGGCGCACGGCGGGCAGAGAACCGCCGCGCGCCTCGGGGCGCACGGCGGGCAGAAAACCGCCGCGCGCCTCGGGGCGCACGGCGGGCTGAAAACCCTAAGTCAACGCCGCGCACCACGGGGCGCGCGGCGGACAGGGAGTAGCAGTAGCAGCGGAAGCAGTGAAGTGGGGCCCACAGGCCAGGAGCATGTAGCTCTGATACCATGTCAGAATCCCAGCCACTAACCACTGGGATAAAAGGGCTTGTTTGTGTAGCGGGTGAGTGCGCCCATAACCCCCCAGGCCGCCATGCCTGTAACCCTTCTCTAGGATCAATCGGGGATCACCAGTGGACCTCTGACACCCCCCCGCACTGGGATGCCCGAGGTGCACACACCGGGATTCGAACCCGAGACCTTCGCTCTGATATCATGTCAGAATAGGAGGTAGTCTTAGGAGCCTAAGCTAGGAAAGCCCTAGCTAGGCAAACGATAGTTTAGGTGAAAGAAGGAGAGGGGTTGCACTAGAAAGAATGGGGATACAAATAGCAAACCCTAGAAGGGTTGTACTCGCTATAGAGCACCCCACTACAGGCTAGAGCATAATATTCTGACACATCTCACCTTCATTCACGACCACGTGAGGAAGCACCTTGAGCTTGCAAATGCACGCATGGCACGCACCACCAACCGCAGTCGTCGTGAGGTGTCGTTCGCAGTTGGCGACCGTGTTCTTTTGGACAGCCGCAACCTCCGACTGCCACAGGACAGCAAGCTTCGCCCACGCTTCATTGGTCCATTTGTCATTGAGCGCGCACTTGGTCCAGTCGCATACCGCCTTCGCCTTCCCGCTCATTTCCGCATGCACCCATCATTCCACGTGTCTCTCCTTCGGCCTTACACCGATCCCAACGCCACCTTCTCGGGCCGTGATCGCACTCCACTGCCGGTAGCTGTTGACACCGACGAGCCCGACTACCAGATCCAGCGCATCCTCAGGCACCGTCGCCGTCTGCAGGGAGGTGTCTCTTTCATCGACTTCTTGGTTCGTTGGCGTGGTTACGATGCAGCCGACGACAGCTGGGTTCCTTCGTCCTCGCTGTCTCCCGACAACGCTTGCCTCCGAGCGTACCTTCAGTCTGCAGGCGCCGTGGACGTCGCCTCCTTTGGAGGGGGGTAGTGTTAAGGGGGGATTTACTGTTCACTTTGAACAGTACTTTCCAGCTCACCCTTATCCTTATCTTCCTAGATTTCCTAGTGCCACGTGGCACTCTACTTTCTTTGCTTCCAATTCCTAGTCCCACATTCTACTTTCCAACCTTCCTTCTTGCATGCTATATAAACCTTGCTTGTATTCCCTCATATCAACCAACCTCGACTTAGTCGATCCCGCTAATTTTTTAGCGAACTTAGGCCAGCGGGCCTTCCACTCGGCCAAATGTAGAAGTGTTTTTCTGTTTTCCCCGCAGCCCCCCCCCACTTGCTCCCTTGGTTCCTCCTCCCCTTTCCGTTCCGTTTCATTCATCACAGCACCCTCAGAAACTCGTTCCTGGGGCGAGCATCACCGCGCCGTTGTCCTTGCGAGCCGCGACCTCAGATTGCACGCTCTCCGTCTTCCGTTCCGCCAGATCGCCCACCTTCCACTCTTGCCGTTCCGCTCCGCTCCGCTCCGCTCCGCTCTCCGTTCACTCGCGCTGCTTCCGTTCCGCCGATCGCGTCCGTGTCGGGACGTCCTCCATGGCTGCTCGCTCCAGCTCTCGCCTCCTCGCGCTCGCCGTACGTCGCTCGAAGCGTTTCTATGAGTCCTCTAATCCGTGCATCTCGCTGCTTCGTGGCTCGAGACGTCTTAAAGTCGGTCGCAACGAACTAGCTAGTTGTCTTCTCTAATCGTCATGTCCTCGCGCAAATGTGTTCCACGTGTAGGAGTAGAAATACAAATAGTGCGTCCGTGTCGTGCAGCGTACAGTGTACAGTGGCGTGTGGTGCGTTGATGCGCGTATTTAAAGCGGGATCGAGTTCGAGATGCTTTGTGTAAAGTCTGCTGCGTCTTGACGCTTCGCATGCGATCGAGTGTTGAGACGTCTCGAATCTAGGCCTCATTCAGGTTTCCCCGTCTGTGCCGCGTCGGTTCGTTAGTGCGTCGATGCTTTACTCAGATACGATCCTTAGGGCTGCAAACAGACTGGGAAAGCTAATAGATTTGTGTCAAGCATTCAGCTGAGTTTCCGGGAAAGCTGTATCTGTGAGCCAGAATATATGTCTAGAACGCTCATCAACTCTCCTTTCCCTTTATTCTTGATCCGCCGATCCCCATCGCGCCTCCCACGCCATACCCCCTCCTCGTTTCCCCGCTTCCCTACCCCCCCTTCCTCCCCCCTTTTCCCAACTGGCCCCCTCCCAACCCTTTCTTTCAATCCCTCCTCCCTTCCCCCCATTCCCTCCTCGTTGCCTTCCCTCTTTCCCCGTGTCCGCGCAACAGGGCAGGGCGGTGTCCGCAAGGCTCGCCCCCGCTGCGCCAGCATCCGCGCTACTTGCGGAGAATGTCGCCCGCGGATTCGCTACTGCTGCTCCTGCTGAAGGTGCGTACGCACTTCCCTCTCCCCATCTCCCCCCCACCCACTCCCAATCCCCCACCCCCCACTCCCACTCCCCGGCCTCATCACGTATCGCGCCTGGAAGTCTTTTTTTCTTTCCCCCTCTCGTCTTCCGCTTCGACGTTCCCCGTCCCCTCGCCTACCCCCCCTCCTCTTCCCCTCCCTACCAGAGGACGTGGTGAAGGCGGCGTTTATCAAGCAGCAGGCGTCGTTCAGGTCGTATCTGGAAGGTCTCAAGAAGGTTCCCATCCCCATGGACGCCGCTGACGACAAGGCCACCAAAGCGTATGCCGCTGCTGTCAAGAACATCCGTGAGAGGTGAGTCGCGGTCTTGCGCGGTGAGTCAGCCAAATAACCAGCTCTTGCACATATCCTCTTCCTCCCACTCCATCTCCCTCCTTCATTCTCTTTCCATCCCCATGGACGCTGCTGACGACAAGGCCACCAAGGCCTACGCTACAGCCGTCAAGAACATCCGAGAGAGGTGAGTCACGGTCCTGAGAGGTGAGTTGCGGTCGTGAGAGGTGTTGGATCAACCATGCGCCCCTCATCCTCCTCCCATGCCCATGTACACTACTGACGACAAGGCCACCAAGGCGTATGCTGCAGCAGTGAAGGCTTGCTAGACCTCCCGTAATGCCGCCGCCTCCCTCCTCGTCCTCCTTTTCCTCCTCAAACCGGTCCAAAACCGCCCAAGGAAGCACTCTTCCTCACAATCTCCTCTTCCCCCGCTCCCTCCCTCGCCCTCGCCTTCTCCGGCCTTCACTTCTCTTCCCCTCCGCTCCCCTCCGCTCCCCTCCGCTTCCCTCTTCTCTTCCCCTCCGCTCCCCTCTTCACCGAGAAGCTCTCCAATCTGCTGGGCTCTTCTGGTCCCCCGGTCCCTCTCATTCCCTCCCCCCCAATCCCTCCCCACCCCTCCCTACCCCTCCCCACCCTTCCCTATCCCTCTCCACCCCTCCGGACCCTGCTCATCCCAGCCTGGGCATCCCTTCATTCACTGAGAAGCTCTCCAACCTTCTGGAGTCAGCAGAGGAGGACTCGCGGGACGTGCGCAGCTTCCTGGAAGAATCCCGCATCATCCGCAGGCAGTGAGTGGATCATTGTGCCCCTGTGTAACGTGGTACGAGGCACCACCTTGTAGTCAGGCACGTTGTAACGAGGCACCTTGTAACGAGGTAGCATGTAGGAATGCATCTGGGAGCGAGAGAGGGCTTGCAAACCCATCCCGTCCCATCCCACCCCATCCCATCCCATCCCGTCCCATCCCATCCCATCCCATCCCATCCCATCCCATCACATTCCCTCTCCCTATGTCCCTTACATCCCCCTCTCCCTATGTCCCTTACATCCCCCTCTCCCCTTGTCCCAAACCACCCCTTTTGCATCAAGACTGGGAGTGGAGGACAAGCTAGGAGCGGAGAAGCTCATGTTTGCAGCTCTGGACAGCGTTGAGAAGAAGCTGGGGAAGGCGCTGGTGGGGGATGATGCCAAGGGCATGGCGATGTTTCAGGAGGAGGTCAACGCCATCAACAAGAAGTGAGTTCTCTGTCTGACCTTTTGGAGTGTGCATGCAACGAGAAGGGAGAAGAAGCTGGGGAAGGCGCTGGTGGGGGATGATGCCAAGGGCATGGCACTGTTTCAGGAGGAGGTCAACGCTATGGCACTGTTTCAGGAGGAGGTCAACGCTATCAACAAGAAGTGAGTTCTCTGTCTGACCTTTCGGAGTGTGCATGCAACGAGAAGGGAGAAGAAGCTGGGGAAGGCGCTGGTGGGGGATGATGCCAAGGGCATGGCACTGTTTCAGGAGGAGGTCAACGCCATCAACAAGAAGTGAGTTCTCTGTCTGACCTTTTGGAGTGTGCATGCAACGAGAAGGGAGAAGAAGCTGGGGAAGGCGCTGGTGGGGATGATGCCAAGGGCATGGCACTGTTTCAGGAGGAGGTCAACGCTATTGACCAGAAGTGAGTGCAGCTGTCAACTTTTTTGCTGATGGTGTGGCACTGTGCTTTGTTTGACTGGTGGGGGATGACGTGAAGGGCAGCGATTTGTTCCCCTGCTCTGTTCCTTGACTAGCCCTTTCCAACCCCCCTTTTTCTCCTGTTCCTCCCCTCTTCCTGCCATCCCTTCTGCCAGGCTGGGCTTGAAGGACAGCGATTTGGAGCCGTTGGAGCAGCAGCTGGAGACGAGCATGGCCAAGACGGACATTGCTGCCTTTGCCAACGAGGCAACGGAGAAGATCGGCACGTACAAGAAGAGGTGGGTGGTTTTTGATGATGCTGGAAAACCAGCTAGTACAAGAAGAGGTGAGTGGGCCTCTTTCTTTTAGGGAAGATCAGCACATACCGAAACAGGTGCGTGGTCCCTTGAATATTGAGATGTCAAAAATGTCGAGCGAGGTTGGGACGGGCAAGAATAGGTGGGAAAGTCTTGGTAGGTGGGTTATGGTAGCATAAAATACTCGTTACGAGGTTAAGAACGTTCCTCTCAGTGCGCTTGCTTGTGTGCCGTCCGGTCTGCACAGTGCATTGATTGGAATCACTTCTGTGATTTTATGTGAGTATATGTGTGTTTCTGCGTGTTTCATACTACTGAATCACTTTAGATCACTTGTGTGTCTATAAGGATGCCGACTTGGACCCTGATGCAATTGACCTCTGATCCCATGTTTCAGGGACGGCCTGGAGGACATCCAGGTGGATCTCAAGACCCTGGATCCCAAAGCTTACATGTGAATCATTCTTCGGTAAAGCTGGGACTTCAAACTGTTAGTAATTGTAATGTTAATCATCCGTAGGTGTTTCCTGTGCTGTCTGAAGTTCCAGATAGCCCCCTCTGCTTCAGTTTCAGGTGTATTTAGTTCACAAATGTCGAATTCTTCCGTTACAAATATTCGCGATACCAAAATCCAATGATCCAATCCCGAGGACCATGGTCTCCAGGCAGAATCAGAACGAAATCGACCTTCACGAAGCTCGCGAGGCTCTTTCAACGAATCGTCAGCCTTCGTCTGCCAACCTGAGCGATTCGATCCCCATCACTCTGGTCCTATTTTGACAAGGGAGCTGCGGAGCGAGTCCTTCAATACTGTTCATGCGGAGCTGCGCTTCCTCTCCCTGCCAGCGACTGCGCGGTTACACAGCCACACCCCCGCGCGTGGCGGAGAATTGTACGGCATCAGCGAGGATCATCACTCTGCGCGCGGAACCCTCGCGCAACCAAGAAGGGCCACCCAACCAAATCATCAAACTTGCCCCGCCTAGGCTCTGCTCCCCCTCAACCACTCCCCCGCACACACTCCACCCGCAACCTCCTCTCCCATCTCCTATCGCCTCAGCATTGAGCACCCCAGAGAATTTCAGCTAGAAGGAAGCCGCATTCCTCAGTCCGTACTTATTCTGGTCGTTCAGTAAGGGCGGCTGTTGGCGATGCGACGCCGTGCAACGCGCACATTGTGTCGCTTATTTAGCCGCCTTGACGGCTGTTAATCATGTTGCTTGTTCTGCATGGGAAGTAGAGCGAAGACGCTCACATTGACTTCTGATTTGCGCCAGAACGTAGAATAGAAGCGCAGCGCTCTATACTTATTCCAGAAGCCCATAAGTTCAAGCCTCTTCTCCGTTCTTGGTCTGGCCCTTCTAACAACTGTCTTCAGCTGAGTCTGACGCGGGCTGAACGAAGCTCCATTACATCTACGAAACTAGCCGAGCTCCTGAACGCGTTATAGAGATCTGCTTAACCGCAACAAAGTTACCTTGATTTATTTATCGTATCCTTCACTTCATTCGCCGAAAATGCGGCGAGTAGTCAGCGGGTTGCTACTAGTGGCGAGAGTGCTGTTGCTGGTTGGGATCGACAGTCATGCCTCGGCTCAGAAGCTATGCCTCGACTCTTGTAAGTTGTGACCGGAGTCATTCTTTACCATCCATTCTTTCTCAACTACCATTTCCCTACCTTTGCTTCCGTCGTCCGTTCTTATTCCTGTTGTAGCCTTGCGAAGATGCTTTAGTAAGTAATGGATCTGCTTGCGAGTCCGTCAGGTTTTTTTCCGACAGTCTAGTCGTCTTTCAGTCCGTCAGCTCTCAATCTTTCGGTCACATGCCACTTCGTGCTTATCATCCTCCAAGCACGCGTCGTTCCGTCAGCGTATAATCCTTCAATCACACATTACTTCGTCATCCTTCAGACGCACATGTGTCCCTCGCGTTACATTTCTAAAGCGTTCATCCCCTTCAGCGCAACCAAAGATCCCACGTATCAACTGCGGACCCGCCAGCGTTACAACAACCAGACCTGCTGCACAAACGCGCGAAACATTACACATGAGGGCAACCCATATTCCACCCTCATCGCTCTTTCCTCCCGTTCATCACCTCCCCCGCTCCCTCCCTTCAGCGCAACCGCAGACCCCGAAGGATCAGCTGCAGATCTGCCGGCAGTACAACAACGAGAGCTGCTGCACGAACGATCGGAACGTGGAAATCGCGAAGAATCTGCTCAACTATAGCAACGCCATGGGCAACAACCCCGGCGCCAAGAACTGCCTCCGCGCGCTGGAACTAGTGCTCTGCGCCGTGAGTGCTGCGCGAGTGGTGCGCGTGTGCTGTGTGGTGCCGTTTGTGCGGAGTGGAAAGGTCTGGGTTTTCCTGTACGTGGATGGAATGCAAGCAGTGATGCAAGAACGAGCGAAATGTGAATATCGCGCATAGCAACGCCATGGGCGGCAATCCCGGTGCCAAGAACTCCCTTCGTGGGCTGGAACTAGTGCCGCGCGCCGTGAGTGCTGCTGTGTGGGTTACAGAGGTCTTGGTTCTCCTGTGTGTGGATTGGAAAGGTCTGGGCTCCCCTTGCTGTGAGTGCTGCGCGTGTGGAATGCAAGCAGTACCGTCTGGGACGTCTGCTGCATGGTTCTCATGCCCAACAATCCCTTTCAACGTCCCTCCTCTCCCTCTCCCTCTTCCCCCTCTCTCTCCCCTCTCTTCTTCCACCCTCCCAACCATCCCCTTCACCCCACCAGGAGTGCGACCCCTACGCCTCCCAGGTGTACCGGCGCGACCACACAGGGCGCTACGCGGACGTGCCCTACCTCTGCACGGCCCAGTCCAACCGCGACCCTGTTGAGACGCAGCCCTTCTGCTCCACTGTCTGGGACGTCTGCGGCATGGTCGCCATGCCCTTCAATCCCTTCGTTGCCACCAATGACCCTCGCTACATCTCGCTTTACGACGTTTACTTAACTAAGGGCGAGTTTTGCCGAAGATTTATGCCTCCGAATAAGAACCCTGGCGACGGGCCGAAGATTTGCTACCGGGGTAAACCGGTGGATTACCCGGATGAGTTTGGGGAGGATGTGCTTCCGCCCGTTAGTAACATGTGTGTGGAGCAGATTGGGTTGAGTACTAAGAATGACAAGAGCGAGGAGAATAGTTACTATGTTGCCATGACACCACATCCGGACCAATCGCGGCGCGCGTTTTTCCTGGAGCGTGCGGGCAGGTTGTTTCTTTACAATCTGCCCGAGCCGGGGTCGTCAGACCAGCTTCCTTCCGATGGGGGCTCCCCGTTTCTCGACATCAGTGGCTTGTGAGTGATGTGGGGGAGGGAGGGCATTGGGAGGGAGTGGGGCTGCAAGGGAAGGGGCCAAGAGGGGCGAGTGCAGTAAGGCTTTACAAGCCCGAGCCAGTATTGTCGAATTAGCTTCCTTCCGATGGGGGCTCCCCGTTTCTCGACATCAGTGGCTTGTGAGTGACGCCGGGGAAGGAAGGGATAGGGGAGGGGAGGGGAGGGGAGGGACAGGGAGGGAGTTGGGATGTGATGAAGAGGACTGGGAGGGAGGAGATTGGGGAGGGACGACAGAGGCTAGGTTTTGATGGGGGAGGAGTGGGGGAGTGCAAGGGAGCATTGGGATGGGGGGGTGCACTGGGAAGGGGTTTGCATTCCTGATCTCTTTTCTGTTCTTCTTTCTTTCTTTTTCTTTTTGTCCTTCGATTTGTGTTCCACAGGGTGGCACAGGGCGCTGATCAGGGGGCAGTGGGAATCGCCTTTCACCCTGACTACCCCAGCAACGGCCGCCTCTTCGTCTCCTTCACCTGCGACTCCTCTCTCACCCCCCACTGCAAACCCGCTGTCTGTGGCTGCAAGCTCACTGCTTTCCCTCCACTCCCATGCCTTCCCACACGTCCTTCCCCTCTTGACCGCCTCTTGCATGCAGGGTGGCGCAGGGCGCAGAGCAGGGAGCAGTGGGGATCGCCTTTCACCCGGACTACCCCAGCAACGGCCGCCTCTTTGTGTCCTTCACCTGCGACTCGTCAGTCACCCCTGACTGCAAGGCTGCTATGTGCGGGTGCTACGATGCTGTGAACTGCACGGCAGACAAGGTCAAGGCAACCAATCCGGACGGCCGGTGGGGCACGGGGGACCTGTGCAGGAATGTGACGGTCGTGGCTGAGTTTTCTGCGTGCAGTGACACCCTCTGCACGCCTTCTAAGATCTCCAAGGTATGTGATTCGTTGTTTGAACGTCTGGATCCTCAGTCAACTCTGACAGCAAGCCCGCTGTGTGCGGCTGTTATGGTGCTGTCAACTGCACGGCAGACAAGGTTCAGGCGGCCAATCCGGACGGTCGTTGGGGCACGGGGACCTGTGCTGGGGGACGGACCCACTGTGCCGTGAACCACCCTGCTCGTATCCTTGCCCCTTTTCCTCTCACTAACACACTTCCGCTCCCCCTCCCCCACGCCTCCGGCCCTGCTGCCTCCCCCCTGCTGCCTCCGCCCTGCTGCCTATCCCACCGATACTTCCCCTCCATCTCTCAGAAAGCGAGCATAGAGGCCACAATAGTGCGCTACATAGTGCGGCTGGGGCAGCCCTTCAGCAACAACAACTGTGGGTGCATCGAACCATCCTGCTCACATCCTCCCCTCTTCACCTCTACCCCGCTTCCCCTCCCCCCAAAAAGCGGCCATAGAAGCAACGGTAGTGCGCTTCATAGTGCGGCTGGGGCAGCCTTTCACCAACAACAACGGCGGGCAGATCCGCTTCGGCGCGGATGACATGTTCTAAGTCATGCTGGGGGACAGCGGGTGCTGTGAACCACCCTGTTCATATCCTCCCCACTTTTCCCCTCACTTACTTTCCCCTCCCCCTCCCCCTCCTCTCCCACTCCTCCCCCCCTTCCTTCCTCCCTGCCTCCCGCACCGCCTCCAGCGCACGGCCATAGAGGCCACGATAGTGCGCTACATAGTGCGGCTGGGGCAGCCCTTCATCAACAACAACGGAGGGCAGATCCGCTTCGGCGCGGATGGCATGCTCTACGTCATGGTGGGGGATGGAGGGGGAGAGCTCGACCCCCTGGGCCTGGCGCAGAACCCCAAGGCGTTTCACGGGAAGGTCTTGAGGCTGGACGTTCTCAATGGGATCAGTCAGCCAGGTGGGTGACTCTGGATGTGGTGCGGTGCAGTGCGGTGTCGTTGCACCCTCGCCCATGGAATGCGGATGGCATGCTCTACGTCATGGTGGGGGATGGAGGGGGCGAGCTCGACCCCCTGGGCCTGGCGCAGAACCCCAAGGCGTTCCATTGGAAGGTGTTGAGGCTGGACGTGTTCAATGGGATCAGCCAGCCAGGTGGTTGGGTGAGGGGGTGGGTGGGTGGGTGTTTTAAGAGATTTTGGATGGGGTGTGGTGTGGTGCTGTGCGGTGTTGTTTTCCCCTCCTCGCCAAGGGGCACCGACGGCATGCTCTACGTCATGGTGGGGGATGGAGGAGGCGAGCTCGACCCCCTGGGCCTGGCGCAGAACCCCAAGGCGTTCCATGGGAAGGTCTTGAGGCTGGACGTTCTCAATGGGATCAGTCAGCCAGGTGCGTGGATCGAAAGACTTGCCATTGGACGTGGTAAGGTGTGGTGTGATGTGGTGTGGTGTGGTGTGGTGTGGTGTGGTGTGTTCAGCCCTCGCCATACAAGCTGGACCCCCTGGGTCTGACGCAGAACCCCAAGGCGTTTCACAGGAAGGTGCTGAGTTTGGACGTTCACAGGAAGGTGCTGAGTTTGGACGTTCACAGGAAGGTGCTGAGTTTGGACGTTCACAGGAAGGTGCTGAGTTTGGACGTTCTCAATGGCATCAGCCAACCAGGTGGGTGGGTGGATGGGTGCCTTGAAAATCTTGACATTGGGTGGGGTGGGGTGGGGTGTGGTGTGGAGTGGCGTGGTGCAACCAGCCATCGCCTCTCCGTTCCTTCACCCCAACTGCTGCTTTCTTTCTGCCCTTCCCCCTCTTTCTCTTCCCCGTTCCCCCTTCTTCCCCTTCACTCCTGCCCACTCCTCCCCTTCCTTGTTCCCCACTCTTCCCCTTCATTGCTCCCACTCTTGCCCTTCTCTCCTCAGGGGAAGATTAGATTAAGAGCAGGGTGCTGCTGGGGGCGTACGGCATTCCCCCGGACAACCAAGCTGCCACTGATTTGACTCGTTCCCTCCTTGCCTTCCCCTCTCAGGCGAGGATGAGATTAGGAGCAGGGGCCTGCTGGGGGCGTACGGCATTCCCCCTGACAACCCCCATGCGTTCGACTGGGACTGGCGCGGGGAGGTGTTCGCGCTGGGCTTCCACAACCCCTGGAAGTGCACCTTCGACCTGCTCAGACCCTCCGTCATGATGTGCGGGGATGTCGGATGGGTGAGTCACGAGTGCCCCTTGTGCCATGAGGGAAAGCTGTTTTGAGTATGGAACCTTGGGGGGTAAAACGGGGACTGGCTGGGGAGGTGTTTTCACTGGGCTTCCACGACCCATGGAAGTTTTGAGACATCTTAAAACTGCACCTTTGACCTCCTCAGACCTTCCGTCATGATGTGCGGGGACGTCGGATGGGTGAGTGATGCTTATAGGACAGCTGAAAGGATTCCCTCCTGGGATGTGGGTGTATGGGGGGAACTGGGAGTGGGGGAAAGGGAGACTGGTGCAGGGAGGTGTTTGCGCTGGGTTTTTCCACGACCTCTGGAAGTGCACCTTCGACCTACTGAGACCCTCCGTCATGATGTGCGGGGACGTGGGATGGGTGAGTGAGTGTTGCTTGTGGGATGTGGAGAAGCGGTTCTGTCTATGGGTCCTGGGGGGATTTTTTGAGAATTCTTCAAAACTCCCTGCAACGTGGGGAAGCGGTTCTGTCTATGGGTCCTGGGGGGGGGTGAAGCGAGGACTGGCAGGGAGCGGTGTTTGCTCTGGGGCTTCCATTCCATGACCCCTGAATTCGCACCATCGACCTGCTCAGGCCTTCTGTCGTATTGTGCGGGGATGTCGGATGGGTGAGTGCTGCTTGTGACATGTGGGAAAGCAGCTCTGCATATGAAAGTGAGGGCCGGTGGAAGGAGGTGCTTGCTCTGGGCTTCCACGACCCCTGGAAGAGCACTGCACCTTCGACCTGCTGAGACCCTTTGTTATGATGTGTGGGGATGTTGGATGGGTGAGTGCTGCTTGTGGGTGGGATGCCAAAGGGAAGGGGAGGGGGGGATAGTGAGGATGGCACGGGGAGGTGTTTGCTCTGGGCTTTCACGACCCCTGGAAGAGCACTGCACCTTCGACCTCCTGAAACCCTTCAGCATGATGTGCGGTGATGTGGGATGGGTGAGTGTTCGTCATGGGATGGATGAGTGTTCCTTATGGGATGGGCGTGGTATCCAGCAGTGGTAACCATGGGTAAAAGTGGATAAGGTTCGGGAGTATGCCAACGCTAGCCTCCCCCATCCTTTGTCTGCTTCCCTCCCTTCCTTCCCCTCCCTTCCTTTCTCAACCAACAGACCAAGTGGGAGGAGGTCGATGTGGTAACCAGCGGTGCTAACTACGGGTGGAAGTGGTACGAGGGTCGGGAGTATGCCAATGCTAGCGAGCCTCGGCCCGTGCCGAGCCAGAAGCTGCCATCTTTCCAATATGTGTGGAGCAACACTACCAGCGTGGTTGGAGGGTTCTATGCAAGAGGATACGAGGACGCGTGCTTGTATGGAAGGTGCGATCAGGGCGATAGTGAAACCTCCTGTTTTGAATCGTTTGGAAATCAATCGTTCTTTTCTTGTACCGGACCCAGTCAAGTTGCAAATTTGTTCTCAACCCCTTACTTTTTTTGTTTTTTCTTTTGTTGTTGTTGTTTTTTTTTTTTTCTCAAACCTCATTCCTCTACCCCAGCACTCGGTGCTCAATACTCAGTCCTTTACCCACCAACTTCCACCCTGTATTCTCTCGTCCTGACCGACCCCTACCAGGTACCTTTTCAGTGACAGGAACAACCAATTCTACGTGGCTACAGAGAATCCCCCTTATAGTGGCTACTTCCCGCTCGGGTCGCAACCCCTCAATGTTTCCTGCGCACCCAGTTCACCTATCCAATGCCCGATGCAAGGCCCGTACCGGCCTAATTTTGGTTCGGTCTTCGCCTGGGGGCAGGACATAAATGCCACGCTCTATATCCTGACCCATCTGGGTGTTTTCCGACTTACCCAGCCCACCAACTGCAACTTCAATTGCAGACAAAAGTTCCCGCCTGGCCCCGATCCTCGTGTTGATCCTGCGTCAGATCTGACAGTTCTGACCACGTATGATGCAAATGCCGCTCCGCTTCCCCCAGCCGGAGGCGGAGGTTCGGGAGGAGCAGGCTCGGGATCCATGCCTCCTACCACAGCTGGCAACAGCAGCAGCAGTAGTGGCGGCACTAGCAGTGGTGGAACCACCAGCAGTAGCCCCAGTAGCAGCAGCAGCAGTAGTAGCAGTAGTAGCAGCAGTAGCAGCACAACAACAGTGCAGAACACGTCCTATTGGCTGAAAGTGGGCGGCATCGTTCTGGGGCTTCTCCTGTTTGTCGTCGCGATCTGCTGCTTCTGCCTGATTCGCGGATACCGTGAGGGCAAGGAGAAAGACGAGGCATTTCTGGAATACCAAATGGCTGACATGCAGCAGCCGTTGCAGGGAGAGGGGGACGACGATGCTTATTATGACGAAGAAGGGAATTATATTGGGCCAGACGGGGAGGAGGATGAGGTGTACGATCCGGACGCGGTGGACGATGATGGTACTGGGATGTACTATAATGAGGATGGGGATGAGATGGGGCATCATGGCGATGGGGATACAGTGATGGATGATGGAGCGACCGAGTATGGTCAGAGGAGTGTGCATAGTGGGTATGGTGGGGATGGGGGGTATGCGGAGAGTGAGGTAGGGTCGGAGTATCCGGGGCAGGGGTATGGGGGGTATCAGGGAGGCGGCGTGAGGGGGGATGGGATGTCGGATGTTCAGTCCGAGTATACGGCGCAAGATGATTGGACGGATGGAGGCTCGTATTACGATCGCCGCTGAAGGTGCCGGTGAGGTGTAATGTTGAAATGAAGCTGGTTGGGTTGGGTTGGGGATATTTGGAATAAGATTTTTGGAGATATGGACCTTGTCGTTCGGAGTGCCGAGAAAGGTGAAAGCTGTGTAATGATCAAGGGAGAATTTTCTTTACAGGGGGGAAGGTGTGGGGGGGTTATCGTATTGTCTCTGCCGTTTACCTTGTCACAGATGTTAGATCCAAATACACCTCTGGGGACATGTACTATTCCTAGATTTATAAGTGGGAAAATATGCCACACGTAACCAACATGGGAATCGATAACGTGAATGGAAAATTGTAACGCGTACGGTCACTGTATCGGGATTCCTGGGGGGTTTGGTAAGTGGGGCCACGGATTCAGTCACTAACAGGTAAAAAATCACGCGAATGGTCACACATGTAACTCCCGCCAAAATTTCTTGAAACTCTAAAATTTTCCCGCTCGCGCGCAACCAATCAGCTAACTTCGTAAAATACTAAAACCCAATCGGAATTGGATGCGGTTTGGGGACGGATCAACCCTAAACACCTGGCGAATTGTGTTTGGGGTTGATTCATCCGAAAATGCTTCCAGGTTCCTTTTGGGTATTACCTTTTTTTGGCGGGAGTTTCATCTGTGACCATTCGCGTTATTTTTTCCCAGTTGATTGTGACTGATTCCGCGAAACGCTTAATCAAACATGTGAAAACACCCTTTGCAGCGACCGTACCCGTTATTTTTTTATCGAACATATTATCGAGACCCTTGTTGATTACGAGTGGCATACTTCCCTTTATAAGTAGAGTTATAGCTTCACTTAAATCCGCGATATTAGCGGCCCGAGATCACCTTACGCAGGTTGCTTGCGCCAGTTCGGTAGGAGTTCAAGGTTTCGAATCTGCTTTTCTATTCAAATCGATTTCCTGCTTGTTGGCCGTGGCTGATTTTTGTCGCTCGTCACAAGCCTACTCGTAATTAGTATTAGTAGTTCCGCTGCCGCTCATGGCGCTACGTCAGCTTTTAGGAGCCTCTGCGGGCGACCTAATGCGGGAGGACGCGCTCACGTGCTCCGAGCACATCCGGCTAGTAACGCGTATAGCCGCCGTGTACGGCGCATTCGCCGCGCTTCCGTTTTGCGCGATGCACTACGGGCCCCGCGTCACGCGGCCGCAGCTGATGCGGTGGAGTTTGGTAGGCGGCGCTGCGGCTGCGGGGTGCGCGCTCGTCCAAGCCGTGCTGTGGGAACTGGCATGCGAACCCCAGAACGTCGCAGCGTACGACAGGCGACGATAGCAGTGTATGACAGGCGACGTCAATAGAGTACGATTAACAGGCGAAGATAGCAGCGTACGGCACTCGACGGGCGTACGACAGGCGACGATAGCAGCGTGCGACAAGCAATAGCCGTAGATTGGGGGTTTGCGGCGGTGGTGAGTGTGACTAACAACCTGGGTGAGAGCTTCCCAGGTCAGCAATAGCCGTAGATTGGGGATTACTTCGAACTGCACTATCCTGGTCCCAGCACTATGCGGCGTTGAGTGGGCGGGCCTTGGGTGGGTAAACCCGTGTTGGAGTTTGCTGGATGGCGCACGGTGAACGCAGCTACAAGTGCGGCGGTTCACGCGATGAACAACCTGTTGTGCGATGCGGCTGCTTTGATAGGGGAAGTCGGACAGGACTGGGGACGCCTCATAGAATCTAGGAACATCGTATTCTTCAGTGTCTTCCTTGGTCACTTAGCTCTGTTGGAGTTTGCTGTGTGGCGCGCGGTGAACGCAGCTACAAGTGCGGCGATTCACGCGACGAACATCTGGACAGGACTAGAGACGCGGCTGCTTGTGCGATGCGGCTGCTTTGATAGGGGAAGTCGGACAGGACTGAAGACGCCTCTCGTGGAACCTAGGAACATCGTTTTCTTCAGTGTCTTCCTTCGTCACTTAGCTCTGAAACATACGTGCTTCATTGAATACATGAAACTTCTACATACAACCTATGTACATTTCACATCTACACAATGTGATCCAACAACTAATCAAGGTCACAAAAACATCCTCAATTGTTTCCCAGCCGTAGCATCCTCCTCATTGGATGCCAAAGCCTGATGCGCTGCCTCCTCCTCCCCTCGCTTGGCCCCTTGCTTCTCATTTTCCCTACATGAGCCACACACCTCCCACTCAATTGAACTCTCAACCTTGACCTTTTTTACTGAACCCCCAGCATTCATCCCCATCTCATGCTCCCACTTCCCTTCCCCTCTCCCCCTCTTCCCCTCCCTCTCCCTCTTCCCGCTCCCCCTCTCGGTCCCCCCCTTCTCCTGTGCAGCCAGCTGCAGCTTGAGCCGCTTATTCTCCTCTGCCAGCTGCTGGCAGCGCCTCCTCAGCCCCTCAAGCTCCGCCTCTGTCTGCTTCACCTTGGTGCGCGCCCGCCGGTTCTGAAACCACACCTCCACCTGCCGCACCCGCACGCCGAGCCTCTCCGCCAGGCTCGCCTTCTGCCGAGCCACCAGCTTCGGGTGCTTCTGGAAGACCTGCTCAAGCATGGAGATCTGATCCTGCGACAGCCGCATTTTCTTTTTGTTGCCGTCGCCGCCGTCGGCGTCGCCATTGCCGTTGCTGTTGCCGCCCCCACTGCCGCCCTCGGATGCTCCTCCGTCGTCCCCTTCTCCGCCGCCCAGCATATCATCTCCGCCGCCCTCTCCCACCTCTCCCATGCCTTCCGCCACCTCCACGTCAGGCTGTTGTTTGAGGTCCACGTGGCTCATGTATCTCCCGACCAATGAGCGGAGATCAAATCCACGTGGCGACAAGGCTTCCTTAAGCGAGGCAGCGGGCGGCGCAACAAACTTTGACGACCCATCAGCACCAATCGGTGGGAGAGAAAACCTGTTCGTATGTTGCAACAAGTCAGCAGCACCACCCGCAACACCAGCAGCAGCAGCGGCGGCGGCAGCAGCAGCAGCAGCAGAAGCAGCAGCCTTCACAGCTGCATCCGCGTACACGCTACCTTCCGCCCTCGCGCTCAGAATTTCCGCCAATTTCCTCGCCATCACCGCAAGCCCCGCACCCCCCGGTCCCCCCGAACCCCCAAGACCCGGATCCGCGGAGGCACCGTGCGCCATCGCAGCGACGTCGCTACCAGCGCCGCAGTCTCCCCGCGCCGCAGGGCTTGGGGCGCAGAACTCGCGCGGTAAGGAATGCGAGGGCGTGGCGGAAGCGGCGGCTTCCGCGGCGCTCGCGAACTCAGTGGCGGCGGGGGCGGCTAAAGAAGATCTGCGCAGAAGGGCTGCGGTTAGCGGCGAAGGGGCGCTACTAGAAGCCGTGGGATTCGCGGAATTTGCGGGATTTGCGGCGGGCGGGGCGCTCCAAAGTCGAGCTAGTAGTGAGGCGGCGTCAACCCTTGTCGAAACCTCGATAGGATTTGATACGATTGGAGGATTTTGGATCGGAAACCGTAGGCCCACGGCTGATGATTCTGGCGCTACGGAAGCCGTTTTTGTTGCCGCTGACGTCATCAAATCGCTTTCGCGAGAAGGCTTGTCTTGGTCGCGAGCGCGAGCCGCCTCAAGCTCGCCGTGTTGGCTACGGTTGGATGCGGTGAAGCGCGGCGCGGAGAGTTGGTCCTGGAGTTGCTGCTTGTGCCGCTGCACCTGCACAAGCTTCTGGTGGTGCTGCTGCAGCAGCCGCAGCAGCTGCCGCTTCTGCTCCTCGTCTAGAGCCTGAACAGCCGCCTGAGCCTGAGCTTGTACTGGCTGCGGCTGCGGCTGCGGCTGTGGCTGCGTCTGCGGCTGCGGCTGTGTCGGACGCGATCGGAGGCTCATGGTGGTGGTAGTGAAGGCGGTCGGCGCGCCGGGTAAGCTCTGTTGCGACGACGGAGACGGCGGAGATGCCGGCGTGAGTGGCGCAGGATCGGGAGCTACCTGCGACTCGCCATGGCTCCTGTCGCTGTGACCGCTGAAGGGGATTGGGAAGCGATATGCGGAGTGCATTTCTTCGGTCTTTACTGGATCGGCGGCAGCCGCGGGGTTCGCGCCGGGAGTTTCGGCAAGGAAATTTCTGTCACCGTTTCCGGAGGTTAGGCCGAGAGATAGCCCAAGACTCGCGCCGCAAGTTCCGGCGGCCAATCCGTGAGATTCTTTCGTGTCGTTCTGACGTGCCGGAATCCCCCAAGCCAGCGGAGGTTCGTTGAGACAGAACGCCTGCGCACAAAGAAAGGGGTGAACACGGAAAAACGCGAAGGGGGGAAAGGGGGAAAAAAAAAAAACGCGAGAGAGAGAGAGAGAGAGAAAAAAAAATGTTGTTGAAAGGTGGTGAGAACAAGAGCTACTACTGCGGTTCTGTAGGATAGTACTTGGAAGAGAAAATGTTTATGAAGAGAGAAAGGATCGACCGACTTGTCTTACCATCGCAACAGCTGGAGTGACAATGTCGTCGATCCGTTCTTCCACAGCGTCGTTTCACCCGCAAGAACGCGCAGAAAAAAAACTCAGAGCATTTGTGAAGCACACTAGGTCCAACGAAAGAGCTAACACGAGCCACTTGATCAAGCCCCAGAAGCCTCAGTTGACCGATTAACTAGCTAAACAAAGAAAAAAAATTCCTAGAAATGTGTGTTGTGCTTGACGGGGTGGTGGTGGATGATGCGATGCGAAGCAGAAATAGGTGAGTTTTAAGTGTCCAAAGTGTTCGTCCAAATACGGTTGAAAAAGGTTTAGGATTTTCGCAGAGCGGTTTAATTTCAACAACAGACGGTTGGGTAGGGTTTTTTGCGAATACGTGCATGGTTGGACCCGCCCGAACTCACTGAACACCGTGTTCCATATCATTGGCTCAGTCAAATTCGTCATGGAGCTTTGGAATAGCAAAAGAATCGGTTGGAAACGGTGGTGAGCGTATGAACCAAGCAGTCTTTTGTGCTTTGACGATACACGTGTGGATGAGACGTCAGGTCAGGGTTTAGGGCCGGGACCGGCGGGACAGCCCCCGCACGGAAGCAAAAACGGTCTGCGGTGGGGGCGAACTGATTGCTTGCTGCTGTGGTGGCTTCCGCGTCGACATACAGAAGCGAACCGAACCGACCAAAACAGGGAAGAACTGAACAGTAGATCATTGGAAGTTTGGGCGGGGAAGGAGGGAGGCATGCTGCTGCCGTCGTTGCATAACATCGCCTCACACGAGTCATTCACCATGTGCGAAGCGTAGCCAATCGCGCGACGATCATCGATAACGGGTGACGCCTGTTGTCTTCGTCCTCATCTGAGACTGGGGGAACTGTGACAGAAAAGTCGGTGTCATCACTGTGCCGCAAGTCGTGACAGGCTGTTCTTGGGATTGGATGAGTTGACGTCAGTTTTGCAGCTTGTGGATCTTGCAGCGCGTCTCGTTCACCCTGCAATCAGATGTCAAGTTTCGTAATGACTCGCCTCTCAGAAGGTATTGTGTATTTTTTTTTCACAAAGATCCCTGCACCTAAAGCCAGCGGTCCAGCCCCTCTGGACACAGCTGTTCGAGAAATTGTCAAGTTCGGTTCTGCTAGACAATGGTAATGCCTGCTCCTTGGGTTGCTATCGCAGAAAAGTATTCGTGTCCGTGTGCTAAGCACAACAATTACGCCGTCGCCATACCTGCTTCCAGCAAACATGATTGGCTGACACTCCCAAACATTGATTTTCCCAAACACTGATTCGGACTGTGCCCGGATTTTTCTACATGCAACATTGCCTTTACACGGTTGAAATGTTTGTGGAAAGCGTTATTTCTGGCAAGTTTACTGTACACGTACCTCATCCAGCTTTGGGCCAGCTGGTCGGGACGCCAAGAAGACAGCACAACTTCTATCCAGCTGTTTGATTGCTTCTGGTTTGGCAATCATCGGGTGGCATGTCAACGGAGTGTCGATTGGGAAAGATGAGCCAGCAGTCACAATCGCACAGTGATCAAATGTGGCTGCATTCGGTTTGCAAGCAGGGCTCAGGCTATCAGGGTAAATGCTCGTTCTTGACTGAAAATCCTAGGTATTTTTCAGCCGAACTCGGATTTTTACAGGGGAATTTTTAGGCCAGCCCTGACTGAATCCGAGCACTTCCAGGACTGACTCTGGTGAATACGAGTCATCCCTCGAAGGACTCGGAACCTTTTTCTAAGGTTCTAACCACCCCCAACCTCGTCCCCTCCCCAACCGCGCTTCCTGGACTTGTGAATGTTCCCTCCCGCCCCTCTGTTCCTTAGTCAAATCGGAGGCACCTATACTCTATCGCTCTCAGTGAGCAGAGTTCCACACAAAAGGAGGATAAGTGCACCAACAGAGTGTTTCAGCATCAGCTTTTGTCAGAAAGAAGTCCTTATTGACGCGGAACTATCGAATTACGTAAACGAGGATTTTTTAGGCCAGCCCTGATTTTTACGAGCGGTTTTTAGGCCGACCCTGCGTTTTCAGGGCCTTTTTGGAAGGGAGCCAAAACGTCCGAGTTGGCGAAAAGCCTAACTTTAGCCCTGTTTGCAAGTCTCCACGCCACCCCATCCACGCCTCGCATTCAAGAAGCGACTTGGAAATGAGAGAGACTAAGGATGACAATTTTGCGACCGTCATTCATGACGTAGAGATACAATTAGCATTTATGACGTACCTTCGTCGAAGCCCTCGGCGTCAAGGCCAGATTTCAGGCCAAGTGACTGTAGCTGATTGGCTCCATGTGATGTGGATGTGGTGTCTCACAAACAAGTGACTACGTTCCACAATTCGGATGGTGTCACCAAGCCAAACACGCCCTGCAAAACGAGACTACAATTTTGTAACATTCGTTTTGAATGTATTGTAAGGAAAATTCGTTTTTGTTATAAATTGTGAAAGAAGAGAGTGCGCAGAACTCAATAATGCGGAAGTGATTACAAAATCTGAGCACACAACGAGGCCTAGGACTAATATAGCGAGGTTGGCTAGGCCGAGGTCGCGGGGTCGCGGTGATGGTTGGGTGCAGGTTCGGGGTTGGAAAACCCGAAGGCGACGCGGTGGTGGCTCGGAAGGCGAGGTCGGCGGACCGAGCCTGGTTTTCCGAAAACCGGGGTTGTACGCGTACAGTGTGACCCAGTAAGGAATCCGGAAAATTCCTTACACTACCCCCCCCCCCCCCCCCCTTAAGAAAGGTGGTGAATATCCGAGACACCTCGGCGGGCTAAATAAGCATCCAAAACCGGATGTCCCAATAGCGAAGCCGCGGCGACGTACGTGTCGTCCTCGCTCGTGCGCTCCTTCCAGCGAAGTAGGAATTTTACTGTGCGGCCGGCAGCAGTGACATCCACGCGATGGTTGAGAATCTTCCAAGGTTCCAGCGTGGGCTCGGCCACGGGGCGATCGGTCGGCGCGATGAGGGGCCGGGCAACAGCTGGCGACTGTGGCGGCGCATAGTGACGCAGTAGGCTGACGTGGAAAGCGTCATGAATTTTCCAGGTGTCGGGCAGCAGCAGCTTCGCGGTGACAGGTGTCACCATTTGGATGATACGAAATGGTCCCACGTATCGAGGCCGTAGTTTCGCGAGCTGCGGCAGTCGTAAATTCTTGGTGTCCAGAAGTACAAACTGCCCTGCGCGGAAAGGCACATTCCAGCGATGTTTGTCCGCCTGGTGGCTAGCCGTGGTATTAGCTTTACGAATAAAATCAGCTGCCTTTTTGCGGGCCGTCTGAAGCTCCGTGACAAACTGCTGCGATCGTGGTACCGGGTTGTCCAGAGTCGTTGATGAGGGTACCACTGGGTCTATCCCGTAATTCAAGTAGAAGGGTGATTGTCTGGTCGTGGCCGAAGGGGCGTTGTTGTACGCAAATTCCAGCATCGGCAATGAGTCCTCCCACTTGCGAATATCCGGGCAGTTAGTGCGAATCAGTTGTTCCATGGTCTGATTTGTCCGTTCTGTCTGTCCGTCGGTTTGCGGGTGGTATGACGACGAAAACTGCAGGCGGGTACCGTACTGTGCCCACGTCTCCTGCCAGAACTTCGACGTAAATTTCGGATCTCGATCGCTGATGATCGCCGAAGGTAACCCGTGTAGGCGTACG